TGTGTTCATCAGACAGGTGACTAAGGCAAGATGTGTTCATCAGACAGGTGACTAAGATGTGTTCATCAGACAGGTGACTAAGGCAAGATGTGTTCATCAGACAGGTGACTAAGATGTGTTTATAAGACAGGTGACTAAGGCATGATGTGTTCATCAGACAGGTGACTAAGATGTGTTCATCAGACAGGTGACTAAGGCAAGATGTGTTCATCAGACAGGTGACTAAGGCAAGATGTGTTCATCAGACAGGTGACTAAGGCAAGATGTGTTCATCAGACAGGTGACTAAGATGTGTTCATCAGACAGGTGACTAAGATGTGTTCATTAGAGAGGTGACTAAGGCAAGATGTGTTCATCAGACAGGTGACTAAGATGTGTTCATCAGACAGGTGACTAAGGCAAGATGTGTTCATCAGACAGGTGACTAAGATGTGTTCATCAGACAGGTGACTAAGGCAAGATGTGTTCATCAGACAGGTGACTAAGATGTGTTCATCAGACAGGTGACTAAGGCAAGATGTGTTCATCAGACAGGTGACTAAGATGTGTTCATCAGACAGGTGACTAAGATGTGTTCATCAGACAGGTGACTAAGATGTGTTCATTAGACAGGTGACTAAGGCAAGATGTGTTCATCAGACAGGTGACTAAGATGTGTTCATCAGACAGGTGACTAAGGCAAGATGTGTTCATCAGACAGGTGACTAAGATGTGTTCATCAGACAGGTGACTAAGGCAAGATGTGTTCATCAGACCGGTGACTAAGGCAAGATGTGTTCATCAGACAGGTAGCGTCAGGTAGATAAGAAGAGATGTGTTCCGAGTTGCTGTGACACATGAGAGATGACTAAGCTCTATAATAAATGCGTGGCTAATCGATTTTAAAACAAGTATATTTATTCGCGTGCGGTTTAGGTTTCATTTTTTTAAACTTAAATATTGATATTTAAAAAAAAAAAATATATAAAGATAATAAAAGAAATAAAAAAAACTTTTATGTAAACAAATATTATAATGAACAAAAAATAAGAAAATTAAATTTATCGGAATGGTAAATGCGAGTGTCGCTCATAAAAACCCGTACACATTAGTAAATAACTTCACTGTTACCAAACAACGCTTTTGTTGTTGTCTTATATCTAGCTAATTGTTTGTCCCTATAAAGGTGTTAATATCTGGTTGTTTTTTTTCTATAATATTCTGCCAACTTGTTAACAGTTTGAAGCACCGGGGATCGCCAAGATAACGCCCGGAAAAGTACTGCCTTATACGCAAAATGACAGATCAATGTCAACAAAACTCTAACGTACATTGGTGCATACAACTGTAATGTGTCCCGTGTGACAAAGTTTAAATTATGGAATGTGTTCCAAACACCCAGCGGCTATAACCAGCTATGTTCGCCATGACATTAATTGATGATCAGCGTCATCTTGAGGTTAAATTATGCAGTCGTCTGTGGTGTTTTACATTATTTATTCACAGCTGGTCTTTTATTTCACCCTTTCTTACCTGTTGGATGCATGCCATAAATCTTCAGTGTCATAACTTGTTATAACTCTTGCTTCTCAAAACTGTTATCCTCTTCGCTATAAACAATGTAAATTTTAATCATGCGTGAAATTACTTTTTTTTCAAGAAAGTTTCTATCTACCTAAACTAAAACCTCAATAGAATAAACTGAGAGTTATTTCCCCTAAACTTTCTCGAATATTCTTATATAACACCACGGGAGAGGGCTACTCGGTATATAGACATGATTTTAATTCATTTTTAATTACTTAAACTTTTATAAAAATACAATATTATCTCGTAGAAAAAATAATTGCGCAGATTATTATTAGTACTTTATAAAATTGATATGCGTTTTTTTTTGAGAAATCAGAAATAGCGTAAATTACTACTTAATTACTTAAAATTTGACAGAAGTCGGAGAATTAGATCTTTTACCTACATGTAAAATTTCATTTATCTAACAGAAACAGTGCTCAAGTTATAGCCTTTTGAAAATCTAAAAGTAGAAGTACCACTTCCAGTTATCTGAAATCGCTAAAAAGTTGATACAGAACTACAAATTTGATATAATACTAATATATGAAATTGCATCATTCTAGCTGTAACGGTACTCAAGTTATCGTGTTCAGAGACACACATACACACATATACACACATATACACAGTCTTACGGACAAAATTTCAAAACTATGCTTTTCCCGCTCGGGGAGGTGTAAAACGTCAAGATTTATGAAAATCTGGATTTTTTATTTTTTGCACAATTACCATACTTCCTCTATACTTCGTATACGAGAAAATAAAAAGGGGGAAAGAATTTCCAATTTGCAATTGTTTTATGAGTTTTGTTATAATCAACTTCTTTTACTTTTCTTACGAAACGTAAAGAATATTTAACAGAAAGAAATTTTAATTTAGGTTTGGAATCTGCCATTTCATTGACACGACTAAAATAACCTCCAAAAGTTTTCAAAGCTAAGGATAGCTTAGAAACCTACAGTACACAAATATAAACGAGGTAAAGTAGAGTTGGGGAACTGTAGTATGTAATTATATATAAAAGTCTGAAAACGTTTTATACAAATGAGTTTAAGAGGCTGATTGTGGATGTATACACCAGAATAACAACGTAGTTCTGGTATTCTGCAAAGCTAGATACCCATATGCATTCAAATAAAAATGACAGACTAAATCCAGTACACATTCTTGATGGCCAATGGTATCAACTAATCACTTGTTTTATCAAAAGAAAATGTAGCCAAAATGTCAAAAACAAACATCAAATCACTGCTATGTCTAATGTATTGACTCTCATCTTAACAGTTCAACACATTTGCACTATGGTATATATCGCTATGATATGTATTGTATAATTTTACTAATATTTAGGAAGCGACCAACGCTTTTCTTATTTATTTATATTTATTTACACAGTAGAGTATTATAATATATTTTTAAAAATCCCTTATTTTCTCCTTTTTAGTGCATTATTACATAAAAGCTTTTAATTAAAACGTTTTTTTTAAAAAACGTTTGTTTACAGATAATTGCTCAAAATTAGAACAAATAAAGAGAATACGATCTTATACTTGTAAACATGAAACAGTACTCAAGTTATTAATTATAGGCTTTAGATACAAATTTAAAGTACTAGGACTACTTCTGGTTATTAGAGGTCACTAAAAAATAGAAAGTAATCTAAGTATAAAATATTGTACTTATGTACCTGGAACAGTGCTCTTGTGATAGGCTTTACACGGAAATAGAATAAAGTAACACTTCCGGTAACCGGAAATTGTTTAAAATTTGAAAGAAGCATGTGCATACAATGTATTGTATTGTACATTTGAAATTTCGTCTACTTAACGTAAACCAAAATAACGGCTAATTTCGTTCAAATGACAAACACACACAGATATCTAGGCACAATTGCAAAACTAAGTTTTTTTTAAAACGTCAAGATTTCTGAAAATATCGATTTTGATTTTTTTGCACGATTTCGATATTTCCTCATACTTTGCGTAGGAGAAAGTGAAAACACAAAAATGTTTCCCCATTTGAACCATTTTCATGTTTTTGTTTTTCAGTAATGTAATTCAAAAGTACATAATTTATATATATATATTTAAAGAGTCTAGCGATTTGTTGCAGGCCTATAGTAAACGTGTAGAGGGGACGGAAGCAGGCGTTGTTATTGAAATCTGCCATTTCATCGACACGAATAAAATAACCTCCAAAAGTTAACAGAAAGTGATATTTCAACGCCAAGGGAGACAAAGATACAGAAAATAGTCCAAGTAGAGATAGAGCAGTCAAACACAAAGGGATCCGAAGAAGCCTATTCACGCGGCATCAAATTGCCTCATTGCAATTTCAGTAACAACGCCGTCCCTTCTACACGTTTACATAACCCATTATAGGAAGTTACTATTTGTCTGTACTATCTTCCCTGTACTTGTGTGTCGCCTGTTTGGTCGAATACTAGTCCTTGTTATGTTTATGAGTCTAGCGGTCGAAACCTTCGGGGTCAAGGGTCAACGCCACCGCGCGTTTTCCCTGTGATAGTGGTCTGCCATGAAAGCTCTATTTTTGTAGGGCTGATTGGCAGAAGTGGTTACACGTCTGACTTGATGCATGGACGGCGAGGCGATTTTGGTGCCTTTGGGTTTGACTGCTCTGTCTCATTTGGACTATATTCTATACCTTTGTCTACCCTTGACGTTGAAATATCACTTTCTGTTAATATCGGCCTATAGTAAGAAATTTCAATGGTTTTTGATTCGAGTAGACAATTTTTGCCCTCGGTCTACCAACTAAAGTTTACAGAAAGAAACGTAACTAAAAATAATGTTCTTTGTTGTAAATTTGTTTCTCTTTGCGTAATTACCTGTGTTCAGAAATTTTTCTCTTCTCGCATTCTTCTGGTTGAGCATTTTCTATTGCGCATTTTTTGTTAGCAATATTCGTTTGCGCATTTTTCCGTTGCGAACTTTTTCGTTGCGCATTTTTCCGTTGCACATTATTCGGTTGCGCAAAAATGTGTACCCTAAAGCCCTAGCCAACCTTGTACCACAAACCTCTAGCGTAAAATGTTCAACTAAACGTTAGCTTATCTTGTCCAATAAACCAAACATAATTTTTTCCATAACGTGTCGCTAGTTTAACATGTGGCCTACCATAAACCTTGACCTATATTTAATGTTAGAGCAAACACATTGCAAGAGTTGTGGTAACTTTACCTGTACGACACGTATTTTATGCAACTATTTAAAAAAAAAAACATTTCGTCCGTTGTACAATCGTTTGTCATATTTGGCTGTGCTAGCCAGTGTGATTTGAAATGACATTTTCAATGCACTAAAATTCACTAAATGGAACGTGTGCAACAACCATACATTATTTGTGTCATAATTTATGAACGACGCGCATCCTTTAAAAATAGCATACATTGAAAAATTTTGATCTGGCAACTCGGCTATAAATATGTATACATACACGCCCATCTTCATGAATTGAAACAACCTCAAGCAAAAGGTAAGCAAAACTTTTAGTTACTTATGTCCCTACAAAGTAAAAAGTTTATTAGCTTGACACTTATTCTAAACTAGAATCTAATGTACCTTCAGTAAACTACAAAGGCATGTTGCAAGTTTTTTTCTTGAATTATTTGTGAAAACAACATCGCAAAATATGTCACTACCCATAAAAATATTACAAGGACATTTAGTTTTATAAAGCATTTTGTCATTAGGTCAAATCTACACATTGTAAGCCTCAGTATAAAATGAAGTTGCAAAATATTTTATAATTGAAACAAATATCATGATCCCTTGATTTTTACATTGACTAAAGTATCTAATATATTGTATGACTTGTTAAATTATATTTGTTTCCCTTAAATAAAAAAACAGAAACGTTTTTTTATAAAGAGCCGGGCCTTAACAACGGAACAGTAGGCCGAGAAATATAACAAAATTATATTTAAAGGCGCTACTACAATTTGTTCTCGAAATTCTTCACCCCCTCCCATCCTTTCTCTTTCACGCCCCCCTCCCCCCGCCCACCACCTTCACTTAAAGAATGTCGTCAGATCATGAGATGTAATTCCGTACCTTTTAAACTACGACAATGCCTATTGACAAAACATCGAACTCTATACAACACAACTGTTTTTACAACAATTAGCGGATACATTTTTGTGAACAAATTATAATATGTTTCCTTGAAATATTAAAACATAAATGTTTTTATAAAGAGTTGAGACATAGCACCGGGATATAATTAAAATATATGTCACATATTTCACATTTTTAATTATGTCACCTTGAACTTTTCCTAGGCCTTATGTTTTTCTGTTCAACAGGTAATGAAACAATCAAGAACGTCTAGCTCAGATTTAATTTCTATTTAAAAAAAAAACAACGAACCATGTCCGGCTATTCAGAAACCATTGATATGGACGCACTGCAAAATGCAGCAAAAGCACTTCTAATCATCTTCATTATTTTAATAACAATTTCAAACGGTGCTCTTGTTATCAAAATCATGAGACAAAAACAATTTTTTTATAGCCCCAAATATCTTGTTCTGATATCTCTGGCTGTTGGGGACATTTTTCTGGCGCTGTTCGCCTTGGTTATACAGGCCATGATGTTCTTTCAGTTACACGAGGATGGATTTGATGGATGTCGGCTAGGTTTTTACTCTAACGTATACGAAAATTATATTTTAAATTTTGTGTACGGAACTGGTCTCATTGTGCTTTCAGCTGAATTTGTTTACCGTCGAAGGTCAAACAGACCAAGAACAACAACTCATTTCGATTTGATTCGCAGTTTCCTGATCAGTAGCTTCCCTTGGTTACTGAGCTTGTTGATTATCCTACCCTTGTCAATGTCTGGCGTAGATCTGGAGTCGTGTAGACTAAACTTCACACTCGACAGAAAAAATGCACAGATTGTTGTCTCAACGGTACTCCCTGCTTGTCTGGCGGTGATCGCAGCTGTTGTTATCGCCTGCTTCAAGATGGATCGTGGTTACGTCCAGCACTTAGAGATGACGCCAGGTGACCAAACATTAGCCAGTGGTCAATGTGTTGATAACTTTGGTGCCCAACATAGAGAACCCGATGCAAACGCACCAGCAAATAATGCTAATCCAGCTTATCATCCATCTTATTTACCACCATATTCTCCAGGACAAAATCAACCTCAAGCCCCGCCAATGGGCCACTTCGCTCAACAAATTTACATCAACAATAGTTCGAACACGGCAGTTGTGGTAAACGACAACATCCCAACGATGCCATCGGCCAACGCCATCTACCCAGAACAAAACAAGATTCTCTTTCTGGCACTCATCTTCTGGTTCCTAGTAACGCCGTTGGCCTTTTATTACCTGGTGGTAATAAATGCCGAGATTAGGTCATCAGCGGTGATGAGTATAGCGTTTAACCAGGGCTTGATGTGGCTCATGCTTCTGAGGCCTGTCGTCACTGCGATAGTCACCTCACAAACAGATTATATAACACAGCTTTAATTGACCTTGACAAACAGCTTACACAGCTCAATTTTAACTGTCTTTTAGAAGAATAGTACAGAATAACGGCTATATTAATCCTTCACAAACAGTGTACATAATACATCTTTAACTGTCCTACAAACACAACTATAGCCTACCTAACAGTGTTTTAGCATGGTTTATCTTTAGTTGTAGAAATTTAATGCTTGAAAACTAATATGACACAAACTTGTTGTCTACATATACATGCATACATACGTACATACATATATATATATATATATATTAATATATATATATATATATATATATATATATATATATATATATATATATATATATATATATATATATATATATATATATATATATATATATATATATATATATATATGCGTCGTAATTGATATAATGTACATATCAAATAGACGCTGTTTATCTATGGAATGGTGGCGGAATTCGTGAAAGACTTGAATATTGTTAAAATCTCCACTTATTGACCATTGTGCTAATAAATTTAAGATTTTATTGTTTTAAATTTAAATTGATGTCTAGAAAACTCAAGGTTAATTATTTCTACATTAATTGTTAATTTTTCAACTCTACGTTTTATTAAACTAAGAAGAAAATCAAACTAAATTTATTATCCATCTCTAAAATTATAATTTTATCTGAAAAATTATACACATTACATTCTTTTAGATAAATTACTTCCCTTGATAAATATGTAAGACTAATTACATTATACTCTTATATATAGAGCAGTTTCCTTACAGTACCAAATCAGACAAACAAACAAATATTCAAACATGTAAACAAACTTGAGTTTTAGTAGTATATAGATAGATAGATTGCACAGGAAGTGTCATTCCAACCCTGTTGTACATATTAAGTATACACTTTGTGTAATTTTGGCGGCTGCATTTTTTCTTCACTTTCCACTGGTATTCGTTGTTACATGAATTACAGGCCTATTTATTTTTAATCTTATACTTGCTTCGGAAAAAAATATATTATAAAAAAGCTATTAATCAAAACGCTCCCTGCTTTACATGTGGCTTAATTGTTTTGTTTTTTGCTTTTTGTAAACACTTTTCAGGTTGCATAATTAAAAATGTGTTACTATATTCGAATATGCTTTTTTTTTAGTTTATACATTTACTACATCCATTGTATTATTTTCAAAAAGAGTCCTTATTTTTAAGTTCTCCATATATTGTCGAAAATACTAACCTCATAGCCTAGGGCAGGGGTCTCCAAACTACGGCCCGCGGGCCGTATGCGACCCGCAAGGTCCTCTCATCCGGCCCGCGGAGATCTTTTTTTCCACGGATGGCTGAGGAGCTTTCCCCAGAAAAAAAAAGACATGCATGTAAAAAACTGGCCCCCGAACTGAAATTTGTTAGTTAATGAGGCCCTCGGACGGAAAAGTTTGGAGATCCCTGGCCTAGGGAAATGCGCACATGTTTTTTTTTAAAAAAAAGATATTAGTACACATGCCGTTAAATGAAGGGACGCAACTTCAGCAAATTAAATTAACAACTAAGTAAATTGGTTGTTTCCCTTTTTAGTAATGAAAAAGATTATCTTCTTTCTTCTTCTTCTTCGTTCTTAATTATTAGTGTTGAAGGGGATCGAGAACAAGGCTTTAGTTGTAGAAAAGACTTTTTTTCTTTTATTATGGCAGTGCTTATCGCTTTTGTTGTAAATAAGTTACACATTCACTGTTACACATCCAATATTCTTACAGATGTGCCATGCATCGTTTTTATTGTATATCTGCTATTTATCACCCATCCATTGTTTTGGTAAATAAAATTTAAAATGGTTAATGCAATATGTTGGTAGACCACGCCCATCTCCTCCATCATTCAGACTTTAAGCAGACGATCACAAGCAGCCCCAGTAGAGAAGTGGCAGCAGTGTAGTAGACAGGGGTCGCAGGGTTCCCTGTGACGTCAATCAGGGGTCCCATCAGCGCCGAGCAGAGGATGAACCCACAGGGTAACATAGAGGCGACGACGGCAATCACAACACCAGAGTTCTTGTCGCCGTTCTGGAACATTCGATAGGAAAAAAGCAGGTCAATAAGATACATTTTACAGGGTAACATGGAGACTTAATGCTATCACAGCACCAGAGTTCTTGTCGTCGTTCTGGAACATTCGATAGGAAAAAAAAGCAGGTCAATAAGATACATTTTACAGGGTAACATAGAGACGTATTGCTATCACAGCACCAGAGTTCTTGTCGCCGTGCTTAGACATCAGAGAGAAACACAAATTTATATGGTGCGTTTTCTTGAAGTCTATTTTTTCTTACAAGCATAACGGAAACAATAAATAATCATGCTGTTTTTTACGGTGTTATTTAATGTGGCAACAATTTTTTATTAATCTTTCTTCATTGAAAATTCAACTAGAAACTATTAAAGAAAATAAAACATTCCAGGCGTAGAGGATTTTAAAATAAATTGCTTATAAGCGTTGCTGTTGAATATATTTTAAGTTTTCATTTTCTTCGTTTTTTAATTGCAATGTCGCAAGTGATTTCCTCCAATACAATTAAGTATTTCGTATAAAACTAGTTCTGTGACATATATGCTGTCGACTCGGATTTCAGTTTTATTTTATTTTTGGATAATTTTGAGTGATAGTTTCATCACATTTTATTACAATTTTCCTAATAGAAATCACTTCTATTGACCTACCAGCTTGACAGCGAATTGATTAGCTAAGATATAAGGTACAGTTATCGCCGTTGCCCTGAAAAAGCCAGCCCACACAGCTGTTATGTAGAAGGCCCATAGCTCTGCTGTTAGCGCGCACACCAAATTGAGGGAGGCATTACCGATACAAATGATCATCATCTCAATTCTCCATCCTGAGGAAACCAGAATATGGTGGTTATATATGCGACACAACAACTCGTTTTTACATACACTGTAGAGAGGAAATATATGACTTTACTGCACAATACTTGATTTTATAATAGTGGTAGCGAAACGTGTTGAATATATGGGCCAAATAAAGCAAGCATAAACACTATTAATATAAAAATATATGGGCCAAATAAAGCAAGCATAAATACTATTAATATAAAAATATATGGGCCAAATAAAGCAAGCATAAACACTATTAATATAAACGTATATGGGACAGCGTGGTTGGGGGATTGAAAGGTCAACTGCTAGCCGAACACCTCGAGTTCTATCTAACTTATGTTCAGGGAAGTGAAGGCGGCTGGGCATAGTGCTGACCTCGCTATCCCTTCCATATGCCGATGTCACTAAACATTTGAACTCTACGACAGCTGCTATATGGAACGTTAGGTCTAAATGGGAACATTACTTTACAAAATAGACATACAAATCCAATGCTGTGGATCAGTGGCGTAGCGAGGTAGGGTGTCACCCGGTGCAGCACTAAATGGTGTCACCCCCCAGAGGCGTAGCGACCCTTCCCGGGGACAAACTTTCAAATTTTCGATTTGCATCCCCCCCATCAAACTTTCGATTTCAAGTTTTTCTCTATATATTTTGCTATTTTTTGACTTGGTGTCACCCCCTAAATGGTGTCACCCGGTGCGGTCCACATCCCCCGCCCCCCCCCCCCCTCGCTACGCCCCTGCTGTGGAGAGTACAATGTTAAATTGTTCTGGAAAAAAATCTACATTTCTTTTATAACGCGTGCCACAAATAAAAACTATTTAATATATTTTTTAATTTTTTTTTTCCAGAACAATTTTACTTAGTACTCCCCAAGTGGACATGTATTAAAACATCTGACCACTTTTAATCTTTTTAGCTGTCAGATTGACAAATCTCATGCTAGCTTTCTTTAATTTAAACCACACACTATCTCACCAATTTTACGCAGCAGAAACTCTTGGAAAACGTTGAAGACGCTGAAAGAGACGTAATAAATCAAAGTCCCACTGGATCCTATCTCAACCCCCCTCACATAGTTTTTGTACTGCTGGCTGCTTGTGTCACCATGGGGGTCGCCTCCAAGTATGCCTTCACCTAAAGTAGTCACAATAATGTTGAATAATTGTATGTAGACATGCATAAACTTCCAATTAGAAGTTATTGCTTCTTAATGTGAGCGAGTGAATGGATGATTTATTTTGTATTATATTTTTGTTGTGTGTGTTTGATGCGGATATTAGATGGCGTTTCGGTTGTCGTAGGGGATAGGAAGGTTGTCTGTGTGTTCAGAGCCTAGACTATTCGAGGTATCGAAGGTACATAATATTCCACCGAACGTTGTGTTTTGTATGTAGTGTTTCGTATATAATGTTTGATGCGGATATTAGATGGCGTTTCGGTGGCCTTAGGGTATAGAAAGGTTGTCTGTGTGGTCAAAAGCCTAGACTATCCGAGGTATCGAGGGTTCAAAATATTCCATCGTAAGTTGTGTTTTGTTTGTTTAGTGTTTGTTTAGTGTTGGATTAGGATGGTTTGAATTTGACTTAGTGTTTACGTTTTTTTTTATTCCGTTTTATTTCATGTAATAAATTTCATTAAATTGTTAAACATTTTTCTTTTATTTTTAACATAAGACTAATGTTAAGAATAAGATTTAACTACCGTGGGTTTTACCACGGTTGCAAAGACCGGACAGATTAGTTAGATAAACCTATGTGGGTAGATAGTGTAGTTATCCCGCCCTAGCAGGGCTTACATTAACAGAAGGTGTTAAATTGTTTTTAAAAAACTAGAAATCTAAATCAACCTAATATTGTCAAATGTCTTTTAATGTAAACATTTGGCGTATTCTTATTTTTATCTACGCTTCTTTAATAATTATATGTTGTTATCATTTTGTATGAATTTAAGTTGTAATAAATGATTATCTCTTATAAGTATATACCAACCCATTGTTCAATCATATACCATATCGCAAGTTATGTTGTTTATGTCAGCAATATTTAGTCCGCGATGTCTTCTGTGTACAGCGTCCTACGTTAGGGACTAATCAACCCTGCTGTACCGCGGACAAGGCGTGCGCAGAGCATGCTCACTAGAGCCCTAATCTGTTACCAAGTTACATACATACTAGAGACTAAATTCTGTAACTATGGCATCACTGACTACTTACTAGCAACACATTGTATAAATAGTATGTTAATCGTACTGAATAAATATACCCGTTATACCGTTATGTGTTTTAGTGGACCACCTCTCAACTAAAAAGTTGACTACATCAGATGTACAAAGTTGACCACATCTCACGTACTGAGTTGACCGTTTCTCACTGACAAGGTTGACCACATATCACATAGAAAGTTGACTACATCTCATTAACAAAGTTAACATCGCCTCTCACCTACAAAATTGACCACATCCCACCTACAAAGTTGACCCCAGCTCACCTACAAAGTTGACCCCACCTCACCTACAAAATTGACCACATCCCACCTACAAAGTTGACCCCACCTCACCTACAAAATTGACCCCACCTCACCTACAAAGTTGACCCCAGCTCACCTACAAAGTTGACCCCACCTCACCTACAAAATTGACCACATCCCACCTACAAAGTTGACCCCACCTCACCTACAAAATTGACCACATCCCACCTACAAAGTTGACCCCACCTCACCTACAAAGTTGACCACACCTAAACTACAAAGTTGACCCCACCTCACCTACAAAGTTGGCCAAAACTCACCTACAAAGTTGACCCCAAATCACCTACAAAGTTGACCAAAACTCACCGACAAAGTTTACCATATAGACCGAATTAGAGTACAGCGACCCCATCAGAAAGAACGTCGATATGTTGATGATGATCTGATGTTTCTGACGCCTGACAAACCCCAACACACCAGACTTAGTTGCCTGCTCTTCTCTATGCACAACTTCAGTTTTTTCTTTACTGAACAAGAGTAAAACCTTTCATAGAATGTTTTGTTTCATTTTTTCTATCAATGTTTTATTTTTACTAATTGAATTTGTAATAAAAGTCAGAAGTCATATAAATATCACATTGAAAAATCGTATTTTCCGTGTAGTCTAATTAAAACATTATACATTACAGAAAAACAAAAAAAAGTAAAAGTAACTAAGCAAAAAAAAAAAAAACAAAAAAAAAAAAACCACCATACATAAAAACGCAAAAAAAAAAAAAAAATCAATTCAACTTTTGAATTTTGTATCCTAGTTTCACTGATCTGTCACTCTATCTATTTATATGTCAATATATTTCTCTGTCTGACAAGAATGCCCTAGTCCACCCAACTCTGATGGGTACCTAACACACGTTAGGGAAAGTAAAAGCGGCTGAACATAGTGCTGACCACACTATCTCTTCATATGCCCCATAGACCGTCAGGTTTGAAAGGGAAACTTTACTTTACTTTACTTTTACAGATAATGGCATCAAATAAAGTAAACAAATATTATTTAATAAAGTCAAACGAAACAAAACTTGTGAAGTTAAAAGTTTCAAAAGTTCACAAAAAGATTGAAATATGTAAAGTTGAAATAGACTTTTTAAAAAATATATATTATAATAATGTATGTAATCATTTTTAGTAGGTTTAGATACATTTATTTTTAATTATTTCCCATTTTGACAAAATGATTACAAGAAGCAAGGGGCAAAACCCTCAATTTTATTACCAGAATCTGTAAAGTTACAATAAAATTTGATAAGTAAGAAATTGAAAAAGTATTGTAATTTTATATTAAATTTTATAAACAACTATAGTAAAGTTGATTAGAATTGTTACCTGTTATCCGCCGTTCTTAAAAATTGTATTTACCTTTGTAGTCTACTTTTACCAGATAGGCTTTAGCAGTATTTAAACTTGAATTTTGAGACATTTGACTCTTCACTTAAATTAATGTTCATAATCAACCCAGCAGTAGATTCATTATTTTTTATTACTACTTGTACAAAGCTATATACTGGACCAATCGTATGTCTTCAGTTCGAATACGGATTGAAGTCAGTAGACCGTCCCTGAATCCACCCAACTCTCATTGGTACCCAACTCACGTTAGGGAAAACATATTACTGTATATTTTGCAGTAACAAAAATTTGCCTACGATTGTTAGATTAATAATGGTGTATATATTGGTCACTATGTGGTACAGTTAAGTTTGATATGCACACAAAAAAATTACTATTTAATTAAAGAAAAAAAAAGTACAAAGCTATAACTTCTTTTTTTTAAATCAATTTTAACTCTTTAATTTCAATACAAAAACTACAACAACATGTTTGTGAATGTCTTAGTCTGTAGAAGGTAAAAATTATTTACATAACGGCAAACACGTGATGGAGCTAAGATTGATATGTACAAAAATAAAAGTTGGAACAATTATTAAGGTTAAATTAAAATAAGTGAAGGGTAGTGAAGGCCCGTGTATCCGATCAAAGGAAGTTGTTATGGGGACCAATCAATGGGCTGCAATGTATGAGATATATAAAAAGGCAAACATATACTAGTTAGTCATAAATAAATTTAAATTAGACTCTAGGAGAGGTCTGTGGTATTTTAAAAAATCAGCGCTAATTTTAAATATAAGTCCTTAAAAAAGGGGATGTTAATAAATTGAAGAGCCTATTGCTAAAAGTACTCAAGTCACATTTGTGTGAAAATCAAACCAAGCATTGATCTTTATTCCTCTAGTTTAACTTTATCTTATAAACAAATATTCATACTGAAGAATTTATTTAAGTTGCTCCTCCAAACAAACAAATAAAATAAAAACGTAATGTTTTATAGTAAATTTTAACCTTTGAATTAATTTATATCAAAATGTTGATTTTGTGACTTAAGTACTTTTAGCACTAAGCGGGAGGGGGGTGGGGATGTTTTGATACGTTAGCAGCTTCAGCTCACTGTGTCGGTTCTATTGTGTTGATGTGTTTGTTGGGCGCTAAATGTTTTGATACTTTAGCAGCCTCAGCTCACTGTGTTGGTTCTATTGTGTTGATGTGTTTGTTGGGCGCTAAATGTTTTGATACGTTAGCAGACCCAGTTCACTGTGTTGGTTCTATTGTGTTGAAGTGTTTGTTGGGCGCTAGCTAGTGCTTACTTTGAGGAAAATTGTTTAATACTTCGAAGAGTGGTACAAAGCTGAATAAATTTGTAATAGGACAAGAAAGTTGAAATAGACTGTGTGCCTCTTGTTGTATGTAGCGAACCATTGGTAGACAAGAATTTTTTTTTTAAAATTGAGTTGATCGCCATAGAGTAATATTCTTAAAGTGTTTATTATCTCAGTTAATAATTAAAGAAAATAATAATGATGTTTTTGTAAAACAAGTTTCATTTTCCAAATTTATCATTTTAATTAATGGCATGTGGAATGAACAATGATTGTGTCTGAATTACTTCCCTTTGTTCCTTTAGTACCAATTAATTTCCTTGATACATCACAAAAAAACAACATTGCATCGGGAAAAAAAATATTTTTTATTAGTTTATTTTGATGTTGGAAAAAAAAAATATATATATATATATAATTAGCATTGATTGTTAAAGTGCAATGTGGTAGGTAAAACACGGATATTATAAATACTGCTCTACTCTGAACATTTTATTTACTAATTATTATTTTTATATATATTCTGCTTAATAAACACACAAGTCATATTCCTTTACAGGGGTTTTTCACAGAGCAAGTGCAGGGTCTGGCCGGGACGGCTAGTATATATAAATTATATATATATATATATATATATATATATATATATATATATATATATATATATATATATATATATATATATATATATAAATATATATATATATATATAATTGCCAGAGGCGTAGCGACCCTTCCCGGCACCCGGGGATAAACTTTTCGATTTGCACCCCCCCCCCCTCAAGATTTCGATTTGCACACCCCCTCAAGATTTCGATTTGCACCCCCTTCCACCTTTCAATTTATTTTTCCAACCCATTTTGGCGCCCCCTAAGGTCGGCGCCCGGGGACATATGTCCCCGCCCCCCCTCGCTACGCTACTGATAATTGCAGAGCTAGGTTGGGAGCATTTGCATCTAATTCCATTACTGTTTTAAGCAAACAATGCTATCAAGGCTACGTGGAGAAGATCCCATGATACTGTCTGAAGCATTGAGTAAGAATGTTATTATTCATTTTAATTTTTAAAAATACATTTCACAAAATGCAACCCTTCACTCATAACTGAATGCTGAAAACATACCTCACTATTTCCTCATAAGGCGAACTCCTAGACGGCTGGCAGCAAAATCCAGTGGTCAGCGTGATGGTCAGTCCTGATGCCACTAACAAAAAACACAAGGCTGAAAGGAAGGCACTCTGGGCGGCGTTGATGTCATGTGACGTTCCAGCGGTCAGTCTTGTGCCAAGACCAATTGACCCCAGTATTGCGATTAGACCTCCGCCTGGGAGAAATAGAAAACACTTTGGGTAAATCTGTGTTTAGAACAGAGTGAGCGTGTAAAACTAAGGTTTACGGTGGGCGAGTTTTTGTTTTACACAACAGACTAGTAGTTTTTTAATGGGCGTAGGTCTTGTATACATCAACACATAAAACCGTGATAGTTCATTGCAACTAAGCACTTTTGATACGGAGACGATTTAAGGTCTGGATCTAAACTATCTGTACTCCTAATCCTTTTCATTTTGTAAATGTTGGGTGTATTATGTAATAAAAACGTATGAACCAACATTGATTTAAATGGTTGTATCTTTTATGAATTAAAGTTACCATCACAATTCACCCGGCTGTATTTAGAGCATTCATATATTTTTTTCCATACACATGAACAAAACAATTAATCTGGTGTAAACATATCTCAATAGGAATGATCTAGATGTGAGGACCGATATGGTTGTTTGAGGAAAGAACGCCGGATATTTAGTAAAATTTGTAATTCTTACCTAATGAAGATACAAAACTGGACTGCACGATAATGCTAGACTGTTCCTCTTTTGGCGTCGACGCCAAGAAAAAAGTCTTCGAAAAACAGCAGCTGGAATCGTACCCGCAGTCTACGAGGCTGTAGCCAACCATGGCGATGATGGCGTAGAAATTAATTTGTTCAATGTCTGGAGATGTGATAGACTGTTCTACTGAAAATCCCCGTGTCGTTGTACTGGCGTTCGTCACGTTAGCTGACGTGGCATTGTGACCATCGTCGTACAAAAGTAGCTTGACGGTGTTGGCTGTGAATATTAGCGAGGTGCCGATCATCTGTATAGACGTGGTGAAGACCAGAATTTTGGCTTTGGAGATTTTGGATTTGGCCCATCTGTCCATGACGTAGCCCAGGGTGGGGATAAACAGCAGGCTACAGGAAGCGCCGACGGTGCCTGGGATGGACGCATACCGGACCGGAACACCCAGAGTCTGGACGTTGGCTATCACAAGGATGACTTCCAGGGTCACGCAAGCCTCGATGCCAACCATGGCAGCCACAAGTAACCACTTCCGGAGCATCAAACACGCATTCATGGAGAAAATCAGGGTAATTGACTACCCGAGGTATATTTTTCCTCCTGTTGCAAGTTAGATAAAAACTAAACTAATACACGTTTTTACTTAGCACTAAATTGGCTCATTGTTCAACGACGGAAAACTAATTAACGAGAGAAAGTAATAGAAGATATATGACTTATAAATCTACATATATTTCAGCAAGACCATATATCACTCATTGATTAGACTTTCTCTATACCTCTCAATGTATTACAATATTACAATAACACGAGCTAGCAACGTCCCATAAAAAATAATGTTAATTTCGCAATTACTAATCTTTTTGCACACAGTCTTTTTTTTCACAGTCAAACGGAAAATGAAACTTCCCAACCGCGAAGTCACATGGACCATAAAGGAATATTCTAAAACCGGAAAAGTACACACAATAAAATGAAATAGTTTCTTGATTAAAAAATAAAATAAAAAGCCAATGCTGAAGAAAATGACCAATAGAAATGACGTCATCGATAACACTACCGACTAATTGTTGTTTTCTTAAGTTAAAAGTGGTCTGCATGTAGAGTTTCATTTAGGCATCTCTTTTAACAGTGTCAGCCCTCCCCCCCCCAACCAAAAAATTCAATCCGCCTCCCCCCCCCAAAAAAAAATGTATTGTCCCCCCCCCCCCTTGCACGGAGAAAAAAGTCTGAAAGAAACACCATCTGCATGATTTAGGTTTAGCGACTAATAGTAGGAAACGAGTCTAGATTATAGAACTAGGTTCTACCTTTAGTCTGTATGGTCTACAAATGCGACCAGTGTTTCTTTATGACTTTTTTTCCTAGGAGGGGGAAATTTGAAATTTTCAGAGGGGGGGGGGTCGGACTAAATTTTCCGGGAGAGGGATGCGGACACGTGTAAATATATATTTTCTATATAAATTGTATTTCGTTCGTGGCGACAGTTAACGGCCCCTCACTCTCGCGACGCCTTATGTCTATAACTTGTTGAAACAATGTTTACATCCTGCCTAGTGGGCGTGGACTTTTTCACACTACCTGCTCGCTATTTAAGTACGTTTAGGTCAACACTTACGTGCAGGCAAATTATTGGAAAATGACGTTAATGTTATCGGTATAGACTTACGTGTTTCAATCGATTTTATTTTGCAACGAGAGCGATCACACAGAGAATCAAACACATAAACAACTAATATAGGCTAAGTAGGTACGAAGACGTCACCCTAGAATAAACCCAAATTTGGTTTAATATCACATACTATTTCATTAACCGTATATATTATACAATAAAACGAAAACAACCACGGAAAAATGTAGTCACTTTATCTCCTCGAGTACACGTTTTGGTATGCCGAATTGTAAGAGGTTTATAATACACGACATAGTCCTAATCAAAACCAGGGTTATATCAACAAGGCGAAAACCAGCGGAATTAGACGGAAATTTTACTCCATTTAGCACCTTTATAACACAAGATCAAGAAACCACACTCCAGCTAGGTAAAATTTAACTATGTTCTCACTCAACAATAATAATAAGATAGTTTTAACTTTCTAAAACTGACACTTTAAACCAACGTGTTGCACGCACATTCATTTCGATATTAACCAAATGAGAAACAGCTGGGGGCATGTAATTGAAATGGAAGTGTCGCAACAATTATCCATTGTCGTTTTAATGTACACATGACAATTTGCCTTGAAGACTGATCATGCTGGTACGAGCTGGTGTTTCGTTTAATTAACGCGTACCGTCACTTGGTGAATTTCGGTGTATAAAATTAGGCTAGTGTATGTCAAGGCCAACATGGATCTAGAGATAATTCTAACCTTCGAATTGACTATTGTTTGGTGTTTACGTGTTAAACACTAAAGTTAAACACAAAAATCTAGAGATAATTCTAACCTTCGAATTGACTATTGTTTGGTGTTTAAGTGTTAAACACTAAAGTTAAACACAAAAATCTAGAGATAATTCTAACCTTCGAATTAACTATTGTTTGGTGTTCACGAGTTAAACACTAAAGTTAAACACAAAAATCTAGAGATAATTCTAACCTTCGAATTAACTATTGTTTGTTGTTTACGTGTTAAACACCAAAGTTAAACACAATAATCTACTAACACAAACTCTACTTAAGAACGAAGGTGCGGTGGGCTCTCTTCAAAGAGGGCATTGACACACTGGTAGTAGACAACAGTCAGCGACCCTAGCAACGCCGAACAGACGAGGAAACATCCGAGAAAAAGAGCGACAGCTATATTTTTTTTCGCCACCCTGAAATAAAACAAGAATATTGTCAATGGGTGCAAGAACTTAAATGAATATAATACAATCAGAAAATCGTCGATGGGTATAGGAACTTACGTGTACACATAACAAAATCAGAACAATCAGAATATCGTCTATTAGCTACAGGAACGTTTGTGTTCGTAACAAAATCAAAATATCATAGAGGTGCAGTGTATGTAACAAAATCAGAATATCATAAAGGAGCAGTTTACTTAACAAAATTAAATCAACAGCTCTGTGTTTAGGAATGTATTTGTACATAATGCAATCAAAACATCATTAATAGGTCCAGAACTTTAGTGGTCATTATATAACCACAACGACATCGATATGTACTTGACGTCTGGTGCACATAATAAAGTTACTACATCATCAAAGGTGCAGGAACTTTGTTGTACCTACATGCTGCAGTCGCAACATCATGAAAATGTGAAAAAAAAACTTTGAGTATTGTTATAGTAACAGACAGAAAGATAGTCAGAGTGACATACGAAATAGTGTAACTATTATTACATATTATTTTTTTCCAAACAAGTATAACATTAAAAATATATAGGCCTTTTTTCCCATGGTTATTTTCACAAGCAAAATAAAAACGTTCACATGTTATGTCGTTGTAGGGGGCGATAGACTTTCTTCTCTGCCTGAAAGAAACTCTAAATGCGACTTTTTGTCCAAAGACAACATTAACATAAATATTGTAACCGGCAACCACTTTTTAGCGCAATTTCAATTCTGGAGAATTTTGATTATTAACTCGTCATTTCTGGGAATGGATGGATGGATGGATGGATGGATGGATGGATTGATGGATGGATGGATGGATGGATGGATGGATGGATGGATGGATGGATGGATGGATGGATGGATGGATGGATGGATGGATGGATGGATGGATGGATGGATGGATGGATGGATGGATGGATGGATGGATGGATGGATGGATGGATGGATGGATGGATGGATGGATGGATGGATGGATGGATGGATGGATGGATGGATGGATGGATGGATGGATGGATGGATGGATGGATGGATGGATGGATGGATGGATGGATGGATGGATGGATGGATGGATGGATGGATGGATGGATGGATGGATGGATGGATGGATGGATGGATGGATGGATGGATGGATGGATGGATGGATGGATGGATGGATGGATGGATGGATGGATGGATGGATGGATGGATGGATGGATGGATGGATGGATGGATGGATGGATGGATGGATGGATGGATGGATGGATGGATGGATGGATGGATGGATGGATGGATGGATGGATGGATGGATGGATGGATGGATGGATGGATGGATGGATGGATGGATGGATGGATGGATGGATGGATGGATGGATGGATGGATGGATGGATGGATGTCTGCAGCTTTAAGTCGTATCTCCTCCTCAACGAAGCAATATCGAGGACTAGTTCCAAAAGCAAATATGTTAAGCAAGTTCCGAGGATGATTGTGGGCTAAAAATATTCCCGGAATTCCTTCCTGGATTTCCCGGAAAAGCCAAAAAAAACCTCGAAATAATGCAGTTTTTGCTCCATATCTCGGCAACCAGACCACTTAGCGACTTAAAACATTTACCAATCAATTCCTGTCATAATTTAGAACAATATTGCCGAAGAAAGTTTTCAAAAATATCCTTTCGTTCGGTCACAAAAAATTAATTAAGGAAATTGCGCTTAAATTGTCACTAGACTTTTTATTAACTTGTTTTAATAGGCGGGAAAAAAATTGGTTGGTTGGGTTAGAAAAACAATATGAAAGTTGTAGGTGCAGTATGGTTGTGTGTTATATAATTGCTGCATTTCGCGTTGTTTGTCGCAAGCTTTGTTAAGGTTAAGGGAGATAATCTAAGTAAAGTTAGTATAAGTGAGATACATCTCCCTATTTCATTTGAAATTCAATACGAAAATTAAAGGGAATTAATAATTAATTTAATTTTAGGATTTTGTGGGCAGCAATTGTTCTAGTCATACAGGTGGATTGTGGATATTTCTTTGATATTGAGATTCTATTTTATTTTCCCGTATACAGAGTTTAGATCAATTATTTTAATCGTGTATAAAATCGCAATCGAGTTTTTGACAAATTATGACTTTTACACATTTTTCTTTGAGTTTATTGTACTGCATGTCACGTTCCCCCCATACCCTTCGTCTGCAAATGACATGGACACCGTTAGTTCAGGTGCAACAAGAATGGAATGCACGACATTCTTTTTTTCACAGTAAACAGACTCTGCTGGCATTGCTATTTTCATTCTGATGGTTTTTGCTTTCCGCCATGCAGCTGTTTTATTTATAAAAAAAAAGTTAAGTTCTCTTTCACATCTTACGGTCTACGGGGCAAGTGAAGTAGAATTCACTTGTTTCTGTGACCTTCGCATATGAAGTGATAGTATGGTCAGTACTATGCCCAGCCGCCTTTACTTACTCTAATGTGAGTTAGGTACCCATCAGATTTGGCTGGACTCTGGGACGGTCTACTGACTTGAACCCGGATTCAAACTCGAGGCGGTTTAGCAGTCCATCTCTCTACCGCTTGGCCAGTCAGTCCCATCGTTTCATTTATATTTCTTGCTTTTAATGTTCTCAAGATCTTCCTTAGTTACTAAATTATCGAGAGCCTCTCTTGGCAAGTTAAGTGGCCTCTCTTGAAAAGTTAAGTGCCACTTTTGCTTTCATTCAAACAAAACTTCGTGTGACGACTATTGAATTCCTTGATGAAAATAACATTTTTTTTTTCATCAATTGAATGAATTTGAGACTCTCAGCAATTGTACTCATTCTTTTGTCTGGATCCCTGTCATCATTGGCTTTGGCTATGCCTTGGTTAACGTTCAGGCCACAAGCTCTTTAGTTCAGTAATAACTTGGTTCACACATTCTCTTTCATCATCTGATTAAAACTCACTTGGTCGTGAAAGCATCCAGCAGCTGGTAGGCAACTTCTGCTGCTTTTTTTTTTGTTAACATAGCTCGCAATTATGTGAACTTGGTTAAATGATTCAGGTAATTAAGTATAAATTTATAGTATAAACTAAGCAGCAAAGGTTTGGAAACCAGACTTTTCTTTGGATTATACTTACAGTAGTAGCCCATATTGTGAAACTAACAAGTATGTGGGTGTTGTTGTTTTTTGACAGCCTTCTTGTGTTATATGTCCTTGGTCTGACGACCCTTTTGGTCCATGTCGTATTGAATATAGAATGCTACACAAACACGAGCCTAGGACTACGTTACTCTGAATAAAACAACAGCCAGAATAATTAAACGCTATCACACCGTAGCCTGGATAAACATCCCGGCCAGTGCGAGTAATGGCCGGCCAATTTTTGAAATACACTGTTAGTTTTAAGCTCTTCGGACTTTGGCCAGGAGAGCCGGTCAATACTCCCTTAAGCAGGCCAATGCGAGCATTGACTACACTCCGGGCTTTGACCGCAACAAACATACCAACAATCCAGCTTTATCTTAGCAGCTTTATAATTTCCGCATTCAAGTCTTTTAATAAAGGGACGCAACTGATAGCAAATTAAATTTACTATTGAGGGAATTGATTGCTTCCCTTTCATTGATTAAAAAATAGCTTCTACTGACGTTTACTTCTTTCACGTCCGTGCATTCTCAAACACCTACATGTCGTTGGGGTGCCATCTCTACACACCACTAATGCAAGACTCCAGTATAGATACCAGCATTGTTTTTTATTAAAAAAACACTTTAGGTCATCTTATTAAAATCCCATTACTTGTCTTTAACGTACACTCACCGGTTGAAATTAGATTATTGATTTGCTAACATTAATTTGACAAATCTAATTAGCACATTATTTCAATTACGATTGTGCTAATGTCTGCAATTGTTTTACTAATCGAATTAAGCAAATAAAAAAGAAAAATTATGTTTATAGTTAATGTGATCCTTGACGGTTTAATTTGTTAACTGCACATGTCAATAGTTTTATGTTATCTTAAATGATGGGTTGGAGTAAATATAATATTTAGATGTAGTATAAAGTTGTGTTTAATTGGTATAAGTGACTTATGGTGCTAGAGTGATATAAGTGAAAAGTGGTGCTAGAATGGTATAAGTGACATGTGGTGCTAAAGTGGTATAAGTGACATGTGGTGCTAGAATGGTATAAGTGACATGTGGTGCTAGAATGGTATAAGTGACATGTGGTGCTAGAATGGTATAAGTGACATGTGGTGCTAGAATGGTATAAGTGACATGTGGTGCTAGAATGGTATAAGTGACATGTGGTGCTAGAATGGTATAAGTGACATGTGGTGCTAGAGTGGTATAAGAGACATGTGGTGTGGTGCTAGAATGTTATATGCGCCATGTGGTGCTAAAGTGGTATAAGTGACATGTGGTGCTAAAGTGGTATAAGTGACATGTGGTGCTAAAGTGGTATAAGTGACATGTGGTGCTAAAGTGGTATAAGTGACATGTGGTGCTAGAATGGTATAAGTGACATGTGGTGCTAGAGTGGTATAAGTGACATGTGGTGCTAGAATGGTATAAGTGACATGTGGTGCTAGAGTGGTATAAGAGACATGTGTTGTGGTGCTAGAATGTTATAAGCGCCATGTGGTGCTAAAGTGGTATAAGTGACATGTGGTGCTAAAGTGGTATAAGTGACATGTGGTGCTAGAATGGTATAAGTGACATGTGGTGCTAGAATGGTATAAGTGACATGTGGTGCTAGAGTGGTATAAGAGACATGTGGTGTGGTGCTAGAATGTTATAAGCGTCATGTGGTGCTAAAGTGGTATAAGTGACATGTTGTGCTAAAGTGGTATAAGTGACATGTGGTGCTAAAGTGGTATAAGTGACATGTGGTGCTAAAGTGGTATAAGTGACATGTGGTGCTAAAGTGGTATAAGTGACATGTGGTGCTAGAATGGTATAAGTGACATGTGGTGCTAGAATGGTATAAGTGACATGTGGTGCTAGAGTGGTATAAGTGACATGTGGTGCTAGAGTGGTATAAGTGACATGTGGTGCTAAAGTGGTATAAGTGACATGTGGTGCTAAAGTGGTATAAGTGACATGTGGTGCTAAAGTTGTATAAGTGACATGTGGTGCTAAAGTTGTATAAGTGACATGTGGTGCTAAAGTGATTTAAGTGACTTTTGGTGCTAAAGTGGTATAAGTGACATGTGGTGCTAAAGTGATTTAAGTGACATGTGGTGCTAAAGTGATATAAGTGACATGTGGTGCTAAAGTGATATAAGTGACATGTGGTACTAAAGTGCTACAAATGATATGATGAGGTAAAGAATCAATTATGACTGTGATGACAACCTAGTTATACAAAAACTGCGTCAAACAATAGTTAGTATATTTTGTCTATTCAATAACCATATCAATACAGAACAGTAAGCGAATGAACATATGGTAATCATTTGTTTAAAAAAAAAAACAAGACATTTAGCTAGTTATATGTTTTTAATAGGTTGTAAACCTCATTCAAACATGGAAAGAGGAAGAGGTTTTGTATTTCAATGAATAAATTTTAATGCCACCAGATTTCATGCATGTTGATGCAACTCCTAAATCCGTATAGCTGAGTGTGATTGTTCAAATCTGAAAATATAAACAATTAATTAATATATCAATATTAGCAACTACAAATTAGTACCTATCAAAGGTATTGTATTTGAGGATCTAAGGGGTGCAGTATTGGAGAGAGTATGACGACGCTTCTGGTTTAGAGAGGACGCGATTGCTAACCCCAAAGTTTTCTAAAGGCCCTTTATCTGAGGAAAGTATTACGTTTACCAGAGAAATCTCTGAAATAAAATAAAAAGTGCCCTGGCAACCGAGTATCATACGTAATGCTGAGCGTTAGATTAGCACTATAGACCTACCGCTGAAGGCCAAGAGAGCAATCATGATGCATGGGCAATCAATGATCTTTGGGCCAAATATTTTAAAAAAAAGAAAATTAGGACGCAGGGAAAACGGTTGAATGTAATTAAATGAAACGCATTTAACTGCTACCAGTATAATCGGGAAATACGCACACAAACACACACATACACACACAGGTGACGATCCAGGTTCAATTTTGGCATCATGTTTTACAGCCCGCCATATTTCTAGTGAAGGGCGATCTTTAAAACAAATGTAGACATCATAGTACTCACGAGGGGGCCTTGGACACACCGGGTTACACGACCGCAGGGAAAACATTGGGCGCATCTGGTTCAATTTTTGACAACAATTATAGTAGCCCACCGTAACCATGCCGTGTGGGATTTTTTAAAACGAATTTTATGCTCCAAGAAAGTTCCCAGTGACTACATAAAGATATTGTGTCTCTTTGTTGGGTGCCACGCACAAGATGTCGCGGGTTTCAACTTAATTCAGCTGTCAAACTATGACCCGAAGTAACACCAGCTCGAGTGAAGCGCCTATTTTCGCTTCAAAGAGCACACTACACTAGGGATACGGCGGGCTAAAATATTTGATGACTGAGCCGAACAAGGGCTCGCAACTTGCACCCCTGCGGTGATGAAATGGGACGCCCCTAACACGTGTTGTGTTGCCTAAGGTGTGTTCTATCTTACATTTACGGAGAGGGATTAACTTACACAGCACGCCCAATGGCGTCAACTACTAAGCTTCACCACTCAACGCAAAAATATTGTAATGTTTAGGCCTATATATCTAATCAAACCATTTTTAGAAACAAAATCTACGTCGGTAAGACGTTGGTGAATTCATTAAAATGTTTCAACAATAACCAGCAACGCTTGACAGGTACGCTAGCATATATATATATATATATATATATATATATATATATATATATATATATATATATATATATATATATATATATATATATTAAAATAAATTTATACAAAAGTATATTTATTAAAAAAAAACTTGCATACCCCACTATCAGTATTGCTGATACATGCACACAGCAAAGTCGTGGTGATCGATTCCTGGACAAAACACTATAGTGCAAGCGAATCCTCTGAATTCTTTTATCTTATTCAGCTGACCAAGAAGAAACTGCTGTTAGCTTTATATTTGATGTGACCTGTGTGGTCACTCGTGGCAATATTGTACACAATCTATTGAAACGTGGTGTGCTTTTTGTAAATGTGTAACAATGGCTACAGGACATTACCACACCCCCCGGTCTATTACCCCCAGGACCTTCCCCCCCCCCTGTATTTACCACCTGGAGCATTTACCTCAGCCTGAAACTTAACCCAAAACCAAATCATTGGTTTAAGCCTAACCTTGACCATAACCCTAACCCTAACCCTAGCCCTAGTCCTAGTCCTAGTCCTAGTCCTAGTCCTAGCCCTAACCCTAACCGTAACCCTAACCCTAACCCTAACCCTAACTCTAACCCTAACCCTAACCCTAACCCTAACCCTAACTCTAACTCTAACCCTAACCCTAACCCTAACCCTAACCCTAACCCTAACCCTAACCCTAACCCTAACCCTAACCCTAACCCTAACATGTATGATTGTTTTCAAATATTGTTCACATGGTGAACCTTTTTCAAGCACCGAACGCCAACAGCTTCAAATGCGCATTCACTGAATTCTTTTTATAGATAAAGTAAAATATGATTTTTTTAGTGGTGTGTGGTTTTGGCCGCTGTCGTACCCCTGAGTCTGACTGAGTAAACTCTTGGGGTTCGATCTAACCCAGGTTAAGAGCCACTGGTCTAAATGATTAAAACCAACATTACCCATTCAGTGGACATCATCTCAATGCTACAGGACTCAGCCACCTCCTCGGCCGAGTAGCCAGCTGTAGGGAAAACATTAGAACATGTTTTGTATCACGAATTGCTAGTCACATTAAAGCTACTCTCGTGTATGCAAAGGGATGGTCTGGTCGATTGGCAGAGTTTCTTCCAGGCATTCTACCGCCCCCCCCCCCCCCCCCGAACGAAATGAAATGTATATAATTTATATAAAATTTTATAATTTTTATATAATTTATATAATTTTAACAGTGTCCGCCCCCCCCCCCCCGAAGAAAGTCTACCCCCCCCCCCCCCCGAAAATTTCAAGTGCCCCCCCCCCCCCCCCGGAGAAAAAAGTCTGGAAGAAACACTGGTCGATAGGTAACCCTAAAGTCTCGAGTTCGGATCCCGGATTGTAGTCCACCCAGCTCTGAAGTGTAGCGAGGGCGGGGCGGGTGGTGCGGTTCGCACCGGGTGACACCATTCAGGGGGGGGGGGGGTGACAAAAATTGTAAAATATACAGAAAAAAAATGCTTTTTGCCGTTTCCATTGATGATAAACTAAAGTTAAATAGTTTTTAAGTACAAACAGACAATTATTACAAGAGGGTGGGGGTGACATTCATGACGTTAACGAGCTTAATGTAGAGAAGGCAATGCTAAATCCAACTGTATAATTAACAGACTAAAGATAAACAACGTTACTATTAAGTCTGCAGTGATTAAAGCTTATACTCAAACGTATACGCGTATGCGGCAAATATTTTAATTATAGACATATGTAGGTTGACATACACACACAGAGTGCCGCACTGGGTGACACCCGACCTAGACGCCACTGTAGCTGACTCACCTAAGGGAATATAAAAGTGGTCACTGAGAGAGGTCACTGGAATAGGTGAACTCTCCTTTACCTGCCCTTGTTGCTTAAGTGTTTGTCCATTAAATATCGCTAGCATTCTCATAAGTGATGATCACACTGGATTGACTTTGCTCAGTTAGGATTACAAGTTTTTGTTTTCCCATAGGGGGTCGGCGTGGTCGAGTCGGTAAAGCTCATGGTTGCTAAACCGATAAGTCTCGAGTTCGAACCCTCGGGCAGATGAGGCTCGTTAGCTGGGGACAGCCACTCTACTAGGAGAGACAACTCCAAAATTAAACAACTGCTGCCTTGTAGTTTGTTCTTGGTTGGACAAAGGCTATGGAAGCAACTCCAAAAAGAAAAGCAGGCTGAAATCGGAGTCAATGGCCTCAATGGCGCATAAACAGTTGACACGTAACGCTTAATTGTGTTGGAGGCGCGTTCGAGTCGGCAAAAAGCTCATGGTTGATAAATTCGAAATAAGTCTCGAGTTCAAACCCACTGGCAGATAAATCTCGATCCCCTTCCACACTAATAATTAAGAACGAAGAAGAAGAAGACATACTGAACTCCGCACTGGTTACTATATTGCATCGATGTCCATTGATCAAATATTGTATCATAATCTCATCATTAACTTTCCCCTCTCTCGCCCGCAACACACGAGGCCCATGAAATTGAGTTCGTCTGTTTCAATGACTCGCAGTGGCGTAGCTAGGATTTTCGGGCCCCTACGCAAAAATTATCAGTGGGCCCCTTTATCACCCGTTAGGACCCATTTTGGCGCTACAAATCTTATTAAGTTTTTAGTTTTCATCCAATCGCTAAGAACAGTTTTGGGATTTCCTTCAGAATACTCCAGGCAATTTTTTTCCAGACATTTTTCTGAAAACGTGCATGAAAGAAACTCTTGCACTTGGGAAAGTTTCTAGCATTAATTTTTTTTAGTTGATTTCTTCGTTTCACTCCGTTGTAGCCTAACGGATGAAAAAGGGGCCCACTGAGTTAAAAAGAAACAGGAAATCCAGTTTTTTTTTCTATTTCTACTGTAGAAATAATTAAAAGTTTCTAAAAGGAACCCAGTCCCCTCTTTACTGTACATGCATTGGCATTCAGTGGGAGCTTTAGTTTCTCTAACGTGAGTAAGGTAAGCATCAGAGCTGGGTGGACTCAGAGACGTCTTTCATGCTCGAGTCCGTAATCCGAACCAGCGACTTTTGGGTTAGCGGTCGTGAGCGTTACCATCCGTAAGCGTTACCATCCGTAAGTGTTACCATCCGTAAGCGTTACCATCCAACTACGCGGTCAAAATCTAATGTACATTATTGTTAACTAGGTTTGACTCACTTCTGTGTTTGCATACTTTGTAAGATAATGAATACATTGCAGCATTTCTTTCTGCATGCTCACAGTCTTTGGCTTCTTGAACCACATACTTCGTCCATAAATTTAAGCCTGATTCCCAAACCTGCAAGGTTATCACATTCGATTAGTTGTATTTATATAGGGTAGCTTGCTTTTCAAATCGGATTGACCGTATATGTTGTACATGTTGTCCATATGTATATGGAGGTATATGCTTTAGATTGGGTAGAGGAATATATATCCAGGATATTGGGGATGGATAGAGAGGCGTCTACGACAAAATAATCGAAGGACACTTGTCCGAATGCCGTTTGCTCGACCGACGTTTTCCCGAATCACCGAATGCCTCAAAGTCCCGAAACCGCTGATAAGATTTATATTGACATGTACACATTTTAAATAAAATGTTAATTTGATATTTTGATAATAATGCTTGTAAGTAGGTCACGACTTCTCGTTCTTGTACTAGGCAGCTAGTAGATTTCGAGGCCGTAGACTTTAAAGCCCTATTAACACAATTCTAAGCGTAACACATAGAAATGTGTTTATATTTATTTAAAAAAAATCAAGCTATAAATTTTTATTAAAAATTAGTAATTTCTGTAAAAATATTTTTTTTCCCTTTAAAACTTGGTAAGGGTAGTGTTTGCAGTGGTGATCATTTCACACAAAAAAAATGATGTGTTGTCGATAATGTGGGCAGTTGTTAGGGTGAGGGTGAGCTGCTGTCGCTTATGTTTGATCTCCATTCAACGCAACTTCTTTAGGCAATTATTTTAAGCAATTACGTAATAAAGAAATGAGTTTCAGTTATTTAAAACCTTAGATAATTGGTATTTTTTTCTTTAATAGATAGATTTTTTTTACTCTTTTTAAAATATATTTGTTTATCCTTTTATCATTTTTACGCTTAGAATTGTGTTAATTATCAAAATAAAAAAAATCAGATTTTATTAACATTGTCTACTTGGCAATATATAATATTAACAATTCTTTCGCTGAAAAGGCTGTCGGGTTAGTGGCTTTAGGGCATTTGTCCAATTCGGGCAAGTGTCCATTCGGGTGTTTGTCGCATTCGGGCAAGTGTCCATTCGGGCATTTGTCACATTCAGGCAAGTGTCCATTCGGGCATTTGTCGCATTCAGGCAATTGTCCATTCGGGCATTTGTCACATTCAGGCAAGTGTCCAATTCGGGCAAGTGTCCATTCGGGCATTTGTCGCATTCAGGCAAGTGTCCATTCGGGCATTTGTCACATTCAGACAAGTGTCCATTCGGGCAGTAGTCACATTCAGGCAAGTGTCCATTCGGGCAGTAGTCACATTCAGGCAAGTGTCCATTCGGGCATTTGTCACATTCAGGCAAGTGTCCATTCGGGCATTTGTCACATTCAGACAAGTGTCCATTCGGGCATTTGTCACATTCAGACAAGGGTCCATTCGGGCAGTAGTCACATTCAGGCAAGTGTCCATTCAGGCATTTGTCACATTCAGGCAAGTGTCCATTCGGGCATTTGTCACATTCAGGCAAGTGTCCATTCGGGCATTTGTCGCATTCAGGCAATTGTCCATTCGGGCATTTGTCACATTCAGGCAAGTGTCCATTCGGGCATTTGTCACATTCAGGCAAGTGTCCATTCGGGCATTTGTCACATTCAGGCAAGTGTCCATTCGGGCATTTGTCACATTCAGGCAAGTGTCCATTCGGGCATTTGTCACATTCAGGCAAGTGTCCATTCGGGCATTTGTCACATTCAGGCAAGTGTCCATTCGGGCATTTGTCACATTCAGGCAAGTGTCCATTCGGGCATTTGTCACATTCAGGCAAGTGTCCATTCGGGCATTTGTCACATTCAGGCAAGTGTCCATTCGGGCATTTGTCACATTCAGACAAGTGTCCATTCGGGCATTTGTCACATTCAGGCAAGTGTCCATTCGGGCATTTGTCACATTCAGGCAAGTGTCCATTCGGGCATTTGTCACATTCAGACAAGTGTCCATTCGGGAATTTTTTACATTCAGACAAGTGTCCATTCGGGCAGTAGTCACATTCAGGCAAGTGTCCATTCGGGCATTTGTCACATTCAGGCAAGTGTCCATTCGGGCATTTGTCACATTCAGGCAAGTGTCCATTCGGGCATTTGTCACATTCAGACAAGTGTCCATTCGGGCATTTGTCACATTCAGGCAAGTGTCCATTCGGGCATTTGTCACATTCAGGCAAGTGTCCATTCGGGCATTTGTCACATTCAGGCAAGTGTCCATTCGGGCATTTGTCACATTCAGGCAAGTGTCCATTCGGGCATTTGTCACATTCAGGCAAGTGTCCATTCGGGCATTTGTCACATTCAGGCAAGTGTCCATTCGGGCATTTGTCACATTCAGGCAAGTGTCCATTCGGGCATTTGTCACATTCAGGCAAGTGTCCATTCGGGCATTTGTCACATTCAGGCAAGTATCCATTCGGGCATTTGTCACATTCAGGCAAGTGTCCATTCGGGCATTTGTCACATTCAGGCAAGTGTCTATTCGGGCATTTGTCACATTCAGGCAAGTGTCCATTCGGGCATTTGTCACATTCAGACAAGTGTCCATTCGGGCAGTAGTCACATTCAGGCAAGTGTCCATTCGGGCATTTGTCACATTCAGGCAAGTGTCCATTCGGGCATTTGTCACATTCAGGCAAGTGTCCATTCGGGCATTTGTCACATTCAGGCAAGTGTACATTCGGGCATTTGTCACATTCAGGCAAGTGTCCATTCGGGCATTTGTCACATTCAGGCAAGTGTCCATTCGGGCATTTGTCACATTCAGGCAAGTGTCCATTCGGGCATTTGTCACATTCAGACAAGTGTCCATTCGGGCATTTGTCACATTCAGGCAAGTGTCCATTCGGGCATTTGTCACATTCAGGCAAGTGTCCATTCGGGCATTTGTCACATTCAGGCAAGTGTCCATTCGGGCATTTGTCACATTCAGGCAAGTATCCATTCGGGCATTTGTCACATTCAGGCAAGTGTCCATTCGGGCATTTGTCACATTCAGGCAAGTGTCTATTCGGGCATTTGTCACATTCAGGCAAGTGTCCATTCGGGCATTTGTCACATTCAGACAAGTGTCCATTCGGGCAGTAGTCACATTCAGGCAAGTGTCCATTCGGGCATTTGTCACATTCAGGCAAGTGTCCATTCGGGCATTTGTCACATTCAGGCAAGTGTCCATTCGGGCATTTGTCACATTTAGGCAAGTGTCCATTCGGGCATTTGTCACATTCAGACAAGTGTCCATTCGGGCATTTGTCACATTCAGACAAGTGTCCATTCGGGCATTTGTCACATTCAGGCAAGTGTCCATTCGGGCATTTGTCACATTTAGGCAAGTGTCCATTCGGGCATTTGTCACATTCAGGCAAGTGTCCATTCGGGCATTTGTCACATTCAGGCAAGTGTCCATTCGGGCATTTGTCACATTCAGGCAAGTGTCCATTCGGGCATTTGTCACATTCAGACAAGTGTCCATTCGGGCATTTGTCACATTCAGACAAGTGTCCATTCGGGCATTTGTCACATTCAGACAAGTGTCCATTCGGGCATTTGTCACATTCAGGCAAGTGTCCATTCGGGCATTTGTTACATTCAGACAAGTGTCCATTCGGGCAGTAGTCACATTCAGGCAAGTGTCCATTCGGGCATTTGTCACATTCAGGCAAGTGTCCATTCGGGCATTTGTCACATTCAGGCAAGTGTCCATTCGGGCATTTGTCACATTCAGGCAAGTGTCCATTCGGGCATTTGTCACATTCAGGCAAGTGTCCATTCGGGCATTTGTCACATTCAGGCAAGTGTCCATTCGGGCATTTGTCACATTCAGGCAAGTGTCCATTCGGGCATTTGTCACATTCAGGCAAGTGTCCATTCGGGCATTTGTCACATTCAGGCAAGTGTCCATTCGGGCATTTGTCACATTCAGGCAAGTGTCCATTCGGGCATTTGTCACATTCAGGCAAGTGTCCATTCGGGCATTTGTCACATTCAGGCAAGTGTCCATTCGGGCATTTGTCACATTCAGGCAAGTGTCCATTCGGGCATTTGTCACATTCAGGCAAGTGTCCATTCGGGCATTTGTCACATTCAGGCAAGTGTCCATTCGGGCATTTGTCACATTCAGGCAAGTGTCCATTCGGGCATTTGTCGCATTCAGACAAGTGTCCATTCGGGCAGTAGTCACATTCAGGCAAGTGTCCATTCGGGCATTTGTCACATTCAGGCAAGTGTCCATTCGGGCATTTGTCACATTCAGGCAAGTGTCCATTCGGGCATTTGTCACATTCAGGCAAGTGTCCATTCGGGCATTTGTCACATTCAGACAAGTGTCCATTCGGGCATTTGTCACATTCAGACAAGTGTCCATTCGGGCATTTGTCACATTCAGGCAAGTGTCCATTCGGGCATTTGTCACATTCAGGCAAGTGTCCATTCGGGCATTTGTCACATTCAGGCAAGTGTCCATTCGGGCATTTGTCACATTCAGGCAAGTGTCCATTCGGGCATTTGTCACATTCAGATAAGTGTCCATTCGGGCATTTGTCACATTCAGACAAGTGTCCATTCGGGCATTTGTCACATTCAGACAAGTGTCCATTCGGGCATTTGTCACATTCAGGCAAGTGTCCATTCGGGCATTTGTCACATTCAGGCAAGTGTCCATTCGGGCATTTGTCACATTCAGGCAAGTGTCCGTTCGGGCATTTGTCACATTCAGACAAGTGTCCATTCGGGCATTTGTCACATTCAGACAAGTGTCCATTCGGGCATTTGTCACATTCAGACAAGTGTCCATTCGGGTAATCGTCCTGCACCCGGACAGAGAGGGCAAATAGACAGGAAATGGGGTAGGGAGATGTATATCGGTGAGATGGTGTAGGGAGATGTATGTTGATGATGTGGGGTAGAGAGATGTATATCGATGACATGGGGTAGGGAGATGTATATCGATGAGGAAGAGGGACGTATAGACAGGAGATGGGGTAGAGGGGCCTATATCCACAAGACCGCTAGAAGGGCGTATTATAAAAGGGTGGAGGTGTATTGGGCGTGTTTCCATTTGAAGGGAGTTGCGAGTGGGGGCTCACATCCAAAAGGTGAGGAGAGAGGCATACATTCATGTGGTGGGGGCTGGGAAAAACAGCTTGAATAAAAATTTTCATACACAAAAATCTACAACCATTTTAACTGAGTGGATTTTTTCGTCAATGTTTAATCAATGTAAAGTTTACATTGAGCCACATGTTGGTGATCCAAAACTATCTTGCCTATTTTAAGATTTATGGTTACTACCGACCAAAAACAAACTACAATAAAAAGCTTATCAGTAGAAAGGAATATATTGGCTGTATGGTAGCTATTTAATAAACAAACACCTTTAATAGGCATGCTCTAGGCTACCGATTTAAAAAGATAAATGAGGTTGTAACAGCTTAATGACAACCATATTAAGTTCAGTATCTTTGTAGTCAATTTTTTAAAAACATGTTTAAATGCAATGCCCTTAATTAATATAATTTAATAAGTTCAGAATCGTTGAAATAATTTTTAAAATATTAAAAATAATGTCAATGAAATGCCTTAAAGTAGAATAATGTTCGAAGTTCAATATTCTTGTAATCATTTAGATAATAAAAATTTCCTTGTACGAAATGCCCACAATTAATGTTAGCTCTTAAACTACTGTGCCCACAATTAATGTTAGCTCTTAAACTACTGTGCCGGGGTTATAAATGTAGCCATTGAATTAATAAAGGCATTTTCGACTGAAAATTTGCGAAACGATATATTTAAACTGATGATTGTAGTTTTTAAAAAAATGATCTAACTGTTAAAAGAAACGATTAAAATTGCACACCCCACCCCAAGCCAACTAGTGAATCAATGTAGCGGCAACTCACTAATTCTTTGTGTTTATATCTCCTGCGTCTTCTGTTGTGGTACTTGACAAAAGCATTTTCAATCGATTCGGTATGAGCCTTGAGTCTTGGTTTCCATAAATTGCATGTTTGACAGTACGGCATTTCATTTAGTACCATCAACAACAACAGCCATAAGTACATCTTCCTCATACTTGCTAAAAAAAAGTACAATTTGTACAATTGGAAAAATAATCGAAAAGGCACATTTTAAGCTCTCGTTTAAAAAAAAGTTTTACATTTAATTCATAAGACATACTTCAGTTTGTAAATTACTAATTGCTTATACAAAAAAAATGTAAAGCTAATATTTAGACCGAGCTATCCATTGGGCAGAAGAAGTTCATATGTTTCTTTACCTCCGCATTTGAAGAGATAGTGTGGTCAGACTATGCCTGCTGCCTCTACGTTCCCGAACTTAAGTCAGGTACCCATCATAGCTGAGTGGACTCAGGGACATCGTTCAGTCAAAAGTCCGTACCCATCATAGTTCAGTGGACTCAGGGACATCGTACAGTCCATACCGAGCACCGAGCCCGATACCTTCAGACTGGCAGCAAAATGCACTACCATTCGACCACGCCATTACGTTTACTGTAAACTCCTTCAAAAAAAATATAGCTTAGATACCATAAGGTTACTCACGAAAATTCTTTTCAAGTCTCACAATGTTCTCTTGATTCCGTATTTAGTTTAAGTCACCCTGAATGTACTCGCACGGTAATGACAGGTAGCTTATAAATATTGTAATGGCCATAATGATGAGCTGTTATTAAAGATAGTAATTTAATTAGCTTTATCTAACGTAGTAAAACTAGGACTGGACAATCAGTTTAAAACATAAATGAACAATAAAAAATTGATTAAACGTAATTTCTTTTTGACAGTATTGGTTGATAATAAATTTAACATCTTATTATAAGCAACAACAAACACACAATTAACCTACTGACATTAAACTCACACAGTCTTCATTTACACCAATCCCTACTCACAGTCCCATACTCACACACAAGCCCACAGTCACCCACAAGCCCCTATTGACTCACAGGCCCCCATAGACCCACAAGACCCCAACTGATCCAAAAAGACCAACTGACCCACAAGCCCAACCATACCCACAATACCCAACGTACCCACAATTCCCAACATGCCCACAAGCCCCAACATACCAACAAGCCCAACCTTACCCACAAGCCCCAACTTACCCACAATCCTCAACTTACCCACAAGCCCCAAAATACCAACAAGCCCAACCTTACCCACAAGCCCCAACTTACCCACAATCCCCAACTTACCCACAAGCCCCAACATACCAACAAGCCCAACCTTACCCACAATCCTCAACATATCCACAAGCCCCAAAATACCAACAAGCCCAACCTTACCCACAAGCCCTAACTTACCCACAATCCTCAACTTACCCACAAACACCAACATACCAACAAGCCCAACCTTACCCACAATCCCCAACATATCCACAAGCCCCAAAATACCAACAAGCCCAACCTTACCAACAATCCCCAACTTACCCACAAGCCCCAACATACCAACAAGCCCAACCTTACCCACAATCCCCAACCTTACCCACAAGCCCCAACCTTATCCACAAACCCCAACATACCAAACATACCCACAAGCCCAACCTTACCCACAAGCCCCAACTTACCCACAAGCAACAACATGCCCACAAGCCCCAACCTTATCCACAAGCCCCAACCTTATCCACAAACCCCAACATACCCACAAGCCCCAACTTATCCACAAGCCCCAACCTACCCACAAGCCCCAACCTTACCCACAAGCCCCAACATACCAAACATACCCACAAGCCCTAACATACCAACAAGCCTAACCTTACCCACAAGCCCCTACATATTCACAAGCCCCAACTTACCCACATGCCCAACATACCCACAAGCCACAACATACCCACAAGCCCAACTGACCCAAAAGCCCCCACTCAACCTCAAGACCCCACTATCACCAACCAGCACGATCCTCACAAGTCTTCACACAACTCATCAACCTTTCACCATGTCTAACCAGCCAACGTACTCACTAGCAGCCACCTTACCAACATGCACTTACCCATCACCTAAAACTAAACTCACCAAACACCACCCACCACACTTGTTGGAACCGAGCTGACTCGCCTGCTTGCACCCAACCCCCTATCACTCCCATTTCTTTCTAGCACCCATCACCCTATCACTCCCCATTCCTTCCAGCACCCAACCCCTTATCACTCCCCTTTCTTTCTAGCACCCAACCCCCTATCACTCAAATTTCGTTCTAGCACCCAACCCCCTATCATTCACCTTTCCTTCAAGCACCCAACCCCCTATCACTCAAATTTCGTTCTAGCACCCAACCCCCTATCATTCACCTTTCCTTCTAGCACCCAACCCCCTATCACTCACCTTTATTGTTCTTTTTTCTCTAGACAATCATTTGTTTTACCCCCCCCCCCCTGCTAACTCATGCTTGTTGGCAGATTTACGATGACATTTATTACCTGCACAGGTGTGAGAAATTAGCAGTTACTGCATTTTCAACTTAATTATTCTTTTAATGACTTTCTTGACTAGACTTCATCCTCTTTACTTCTTGTAGATCATAGGGCCTCAAAAATAACCTTCCATTTTGTCCGGTCCCCGGCTATTAATTTTACAAACACCCAAAACATGCCTGCTGTCTTCAGATCTTCAAGATGACTCCGCCTCCAGGTCTGTCTTTGGCGCCCTCTATTCCGTTTTCCCTGGGCGTTTCACTCCAGCGCCTGTATATTACACTAGTCACTAAATACTAGGCATGCTAATTGAGATAGACAACAATTCAGAGGCGTAGCGACCCTTCCCGGCGCTCGGGGACAAACTTTCGATTTGCACCCCCCCCCCCCCCACCCAAACTTTCGATTTGCACCCCCCCCCCTTCTCAACATTTCAATGTATTTTTCCAACACATTTTGGCGCCCTCTAAGGTCGGCGCCCGGGGACATATGTCCCCCCCCCCCGCCCCTCCTCGCTACGCTACTGCATCAATTAGTTTTAATAAGATGAACGCCTAACTGGATGGAAGGTTTAATAATGTAAAGTAATGTAAACTCCTGATCTGGGTACTTTCCAGTCCTCTCATATTTTGTAAAAATATATTTTGGTTTACTTTCGGTTGGATCAATTTTGCAGTGATAATAAACTGTCCTAGTTCACCCTGATTCAAAACAGTAGAACATCTTTGATTCCACTCAACTCTATCGTAACTAACTCAATAAAACTACATTTCCTTGTATAATAAAAGCTAGTGTCGCCAAAATAAACTCTAACATATTTTAACTAACAACACTACAATTAAATAAAACAAGTTAATAAAAAGTCTAGTGACAATTTAAGCGCAATTTCCTTATGTTATCCATAACAATTTTTAATTTTTAATTTTTTGTAAATATCATCCTATAAATATAAACTCCTACACGATGCTCAGTTTAAATCATCATAGGCCTACAAGATGCTCAGTTTAAATGTTCTTAATTAATTTTTTGTGACCGAACGAAAGGATATTTTTGAAAACTTTCTTCGGCAATATTGGTCTAAATTATGGCAGGAATCGATTGGTAAATGTTTCAAGTCGCTAAGTGGTCTGGTTGCCGAGATATGGAGCAAAAACTGCATTTTTTCGAGGTTTTTTGGCTTTTTCGGGAAGTCCAGGAAGGAATTCCGGAATTTGTTTTTGCCCCCAATCATCCTTGGAACTTGCTTAACATATTTGCTTTGTAACTAGTCCTCGATATTGCTTCGTTGAGGAGGAGATACGACTTAAAGGCTGCGGACACACATCCATACATCCAGAAATGACGAGTTATTAAACGCCATTTTTGCCAGTATGGAAATTGCGCTAAAAAAAGTTTATATTTAGTACATTTAAAAGCTGTTTGTTATCAAGTTGTTTATGTCAGTTTTATGCAGTGATTTTCTGCCAGAAACTAACAGCCGTAGGTAACTAGCAATAAGCACAGAGGAGATACAGGAGAATTTTCCTTTTAAGGTCTAAGTGCAGATGAAAGTGAACTCAACTGAAGGCACATTGGTACGTAACGCAAACGTACGTGTGTCAACTGGTTAAGTTAGATGATGCATAAAAAAACATCCTGCGGCTATAACCGGCTATGTTGGCTGTTAGTTGAGTGGGGGATCAGCCACACCTTGTATGTGCATCATTTAGTCGCCAGAGGGGAGATTGTTACCATTCATTCACGGCTGTTCTTTTATTTAACCCTTTCTTATCTGCTTGTAGCATGCATCTGTTCAATGTTATCATTTGAATCAAACGTCTTACTTTTCCTAACAAGCTAGTTGTAAATGAAACAAGTATTTAAAAGTGTCGCTGAATACACTGATTACATTTTCATTAGAAATTTTACATGAAAATTATTGCTTGTTACGTTACGTTTTGTTTTGTTAATTCTAACGTTCTTTGTATTTAAAAAATGGTAACGTTCACTCCGTGTGTTCTGTCTGTATGCATCCTGTTAATGCTGTGCTAGTCAGTTCTGACATGTTTTCATACAAAACACCTTGAGCTTTTGCAGTGATAAACCCCAACAACGAAAATCCAAGAAATGTAACGACGACACTGTTTACATTTAAGTAACTCGGGTGCCAATCAAACTCAGAATATAATGGATTTGGTTTCTAGGAATAACTGACATGCAATCTTAAGCTCAGCGATGATATATTAACGGTAATTTATACGAATTAAGGTTTTAAAACCGGTCGTAGAAAAATTACTAAATATCGTTGGACACGCATATTAAATTAAAACCACACTGTGAAACGTTTTGTTTTCTATTATAAAATGAATATTACGCAACTTTTTAACATCGATCACATCAACACACAAATTGTAACCGAGTCTACTTAGAATGTGCTCGCTGACAGATCATGAGATGGCTGTGATCATTAAATATAATCACATCTTTGTTGTCTAATTTGTACATAATAAAGCCATAGATTCAGCAATTGTCACATATGGCCAAAAATTAGGTTTGTGTAGATGTATGATACACATGTATGCATGGATTCAATGTATATTTCTACTTGAGACTGCATCAACGTAGTGATTAAGGCCCTTTGCTCCACAAAGAGTTAATACGTCGAGGGATTTCAAACACAAAGAGAACTTCTGAATTGTTTAATTCTAGAGACCTTTGTAACATTTATTTTATCAACTCGAATAGATAAAATTTTAATATTTCTCAGCACAAACAAAAATTAACATTAAAAAATCATCATTAAAAACAACACAATTAAACCAATTAAAACATGAGATTTATTTTTAAATGAGCCGTGAGATTTGGAAACGTATACCAATATACAAGGAGGGCAGGGGCTTTGCGAGGCGGGGGCGGTGGGTGCGGATCGCACCGTGTGACATCATTGGGGGGGGGGGGAGGGGGGGGACGACATCCAAGTAAAAAATTGTAACATAAAAAGAATAAATATGTTTTTTTTGCCAGTTCAATGAATAGTTAATTAGAGCTAAAAAGTATTTTAAGTACATAATGACGATTACGAGAAGGAAGGTGGGAGGGGGGGGGGGTTGACACCAAGACGTAAACATGAAAACTATAGAGGAAACAATGTTACACCCAGCTGTATTTAGCAACCACTTATAGATAAACATCATGAGTATTAAATGTGAACACTTTAAATTATTTTTACCGCAAAAAAAGGGGGTGACACCATGAGGTGCCGCACCGGGTGACACCCGACATAGCGACGACACTGAAGGTGGGTAGCTGTCAGTCGGGCAATCTAAATCTGATTTAGATTATTGGACTGTGACGCACCTTACGCCTGTGTCAGGTAACCTGACTGTGACGCACTCTACGCCTGTGTCAGGTAACCCAACTGTGACGCACTCTACGCCTGTGTCAGGTAACCCGACTGTGACGCACTCTACGCCTGTGTCAGGTAACCCAACTGTGACGCACTCTACGCCTGTGTCAGGTAACCCGACTGTGACGCACTCTACGCCTGTGTCAGGTAATCCGACTGTGACGCACTCTACGCCTGTGTCAGGTAACCCGACTGTGCAGAAACCAATGCGGTGACGACGGGTCTAAACAACGTCAACCAATTAAGGCCGAGCGTAAATAGCAGGCCAACCATAGTTAAACTCTCTGGGATATTGCTTATAAGGATCAACACACAAATCATCTGAGGCGTGACGAGGAAAAAGTAGACTAATGACAGAGATAAAATTTTCTTTTGTTCAGGGTAGATGGCGTTGATGGGAGGGATAATGGGGTAACTGTCATTTGTCACAATGATGACATTGTTGATACTGGAACCTGTGTTGACGTTCCCTGGATTAGGGTAGTAACCCATTGGTGGATTCTGTGGTGGATTCTGTGGTGGATAATATGATGGATTATATGGTGGATTCAGATTATATGCAGGCACGTTTATTGCATCTGGTTGTCTATGTTGCGCTGCAATATCATCAGTACCTTGACCACTGGCTAAAGTTTGGTCACCTGACGTCATCTCTAAGTGCTGGACATAACCACGGTCCATCTTGAAGCAGACGACAACAACAGCTGTGACCAGTGCCAGACAAGCCGGAAGTATGGTAGACACAACAATTTGTGCTCGTGTTATCTCAAGTCCGGCGTACACGTTACACGTTTCCAGATCTACGCCCGTCCAGTCCCAGGGGTAGCATAGCGATCAAACCTAGTAACCAAGGCACGATACAAATTACAAAACTGCGAACCAAATCAAAATGAGTTGTTGTTCTTGGCCTGTTACACCTTCGTCGGTAAACAAAATTCAGCTGCTAGTACAATTAGAC